CCACCTTGGCCCTTATACCCAAAGATACTTGATAGGACTTTGCACATGGTGTCTGAATATGTAAGGAGAGACAGGCAGACCTAGAACATACAAATAACAGTTTGATACTACTTCATTATTTTTAAAATAACATGCTGAAGTTATTAATATTGCTAATACACATTTTTTCTTTTCTAGTTTTGACACCAATAGTTAAAAACATAGTATGTTTGCTAATGGTTGCATTTATGTTTCTGTAGAGTAATTTATTATACAGGGATTGAAAATCTAACGTGAAGATATTGTCCTGGGGAGAGTAAGTAGAGCTGGTTGGTTCTAGCAAAACTTCACTCAAAACTTTTTTTTTGTATGTTGCCATTATCTAGTATTAAGTTTATGATGTTTGGTAGCCATGGCCGACATGGAAATGTGAGGGATTTATTTGGAGTTGGGGTTTGTTTGTTTGCGTTTTTTTGCTTCTACTCAAGAGAGTTCAACACATGTCAAGACTGCTGGCCATGTAATTAAAGAAAAATTAATTAGAAACATTTTATTCTCTCATTTTTAGTTCAACCTACCAGTATCTGTCCATACATCACCAGCCCTGGTAATAGGCATTTTTATGCTGATTGCTTGAGATTGACTCTCTGGTAGTCTCCTTATCAAAATAATTGAAGAATTTGAAGGCTTTTTTAGAAGGCATAAAAAGCTCTGATGTAATTATAATTCCTGTTTCTAAAAAAGCAATTTGCTCTACTTCAGTCTTTATGAAGTAGACTTGCCCAGGATCAAACTTTGAATACATAATTTTCTTCTGCTTTTAGTAAATATAGTAAATAGTATTTTGTTTGTAAGAAATAAAATTTAGAAGAACGATGCAGTTTTTATTAACTTACTCTTTTATGTTGATATGTAATGGTTTTGTCTGTTTATTTTATGTCAAGGAAAACACTGGATTTTTAAGAGTAGAGGTACTGGACTAGTGAAGAGGATAATAGGCCATGAAGAAATGAAAGAGGTTTCTAAAGGCAGGTTGAAGAAGAGAGAAGGAAATGGTATTGAAAGCTCAGGAAAAAGGTTGGATTTCCTACAGAAAGCAGACAGGCCCTCAGATTGGGCAGGCCCTCCTTATTAAGGCCTGTAGACTATGGTGAGTAAGGAGAACAGAAGAGCTTGTTATCTGCTGAGAGTAATATTATAGAGTCCAGAGATGCTCTCTAAAATGATTTTAGTAGAAGGGAAGATGTGTGTTTATGTCTTCACAGTGGCAGAACTTACTCTTCAAATTTTCTGGTGGAGTGGATTGTGTGTTCTTTGAAAGAAAGTTACTAAAACATAAAATTACCATAATTCTGGGATTTTTTTTAAGAGGAAGCCGGTGAAGACAAATCAAATATTATCAATCAATGGTTACTGTGATACATGTGATTGAGTGTCCTATCTTTGGAAGATGGTCACAGAATGACACTTCATGAAGGATTGATTCATTTGGGTTTCTTTTTAGAGATAAAGCTTTTAGTAGTGAATAAAAGAGCATAATATGAATCTTCCCCAACTTGTCTGCATCATACTTTTAGTTTAGTCCCTGACGCTTGGGTTTAGTTTCCACAAGGCAGATTAAAATTGGTTAAGCAGGACTATAGCATTGCAGAAAGAATCTTAGCAGTTGAGTTGGTTTAAAAGAAAGCAAATCTTTTGACTAGACCCTAGTGTGATTTTAAAAGAAAAATGGCTGTGCATAATCCATCTAGACTATCAAGAAAAGAAGAGGGAATGGCATCATGCATTCCCTTGCATGATGCAAGGGAAAATTGTTGCATCAATTTTCCTTTCTCTCTGTCTTGTGTTCTGCTTGTTTGGGTTTTTTTGATCAGTCTTGAGCAAAATAATTTTCAGGTGTGATAATGGCAAGTTCTGCTGGTGTTGGGCTTGTAGATTTCTAGAAGAGGATTTTACTGATGGATTTCTGGGCATTGTGTTGTTCCAGAATTCAGCTCTGAAATTATGGAAATAAATGCTGCAAATAATGGCATGGCTCATATTTCAGGGATTGCTAGCCCAGTGATTTAGTCACTAAATTGTTACTGGATCAACAGGAGGTGATGCTGTTTTAGACTTGGTGTGGAAGTGTATTGAGGTCTTTATAGAACTGCTTCTGGAAAATCAACTTGGGGTGTGAGATCATAAGTTGATTCATAAATTCTGTGCTGTTATTAGTGTTAGAGAATTTTTGAAGACCACTATTGTTGGTAGAGGTGGAGGTGAGGGATTTATTCTGTTAGAACTGCTAAAATTAAGTAATTTTATCCTACATGATCCTCATTAAATAGAAACATAGTAGAAAAACATTCCAGATTTGATTAGTAATCACTTTGGTGCTGTTTCTCCAGGGATGAAGGATAAAGCAATTCTTGTCAAGGTGAAGCTGAGCTGAACCTTGAAAATTGTCAGAATAACATGAAAAAAAGGATCTTTGGCTATTTGAAGAAAAAAATTAATTTGGTATATGGAGGACACGGTAGAATTTAAGCATAAATACAAAATTAAATTAATCCCTGCAGTAAAACAGTGCAGTATTGCCTGCTGTTTTTCCTTAAGATGCTGTGCACAGCAAATAAGGACATGGAGACAGCTACAGCTGTAGTCAAAGTAGTAGAAGCAGTCATCTCAAAGTGGGGAGCCAGGATCATTGACTCTTGAAAGAAACTGATCTTAGTGATGACTGTGTGTTTGATTGCTTTTAAACAAATTTATGGAGCTGGAAAGGGTTTGTTGTGAAAAACAGCTAGTGTGGTACTAATTGAAATTGAGTATGAAGGAGAACATCCAGGCTGCTACGGGAGTGTGCAAGAGGTCACTGAAGAAAAGTAGAATGCTAAGTAGAAAATGAAGCAAGCTGCACCACGGATTAACCATAGATTGTATCATTGAAATTCATCCTGTTTGCTATTAGTACAGTCATCTAAATGAAAACTTAATTGCAAAGGACAAGAACTCCTGTTGTCAAGGTGGAGCTTGCCAGTTGATGCTGGCAGAGGGAGAGCAGGAGAAGCTCAGCGGAGGTTTGAGTGATGGCAGTACCTGCACAGATAGTTACAGTGACTCACCTGTGTTGGTTATTTAAACCAGTCTGCTGCTTTGGGAGTGAAGAGTCCATGCACAGGGGCAGTACCTCTGGCAGAGCACTGTGCAGTCGCTGGAGAGGACAGGAACTTCTGCAGGAATCTTTGCTGAGACTCTTGTCACTTGATGTGAGTCTTGTGTCATGCTGCCATGAAAAAGACAGATCTCATCTTTCCTAGCTCATGCTGGTTGTGGTGTGTCTTCAGTGAGTGCAACAGAGTGCTCGTGGCACAGATTCTGAGACATTGTCTAAATTTGTTTATGCAGGGCTGGTTAGGTGATCATTGGGCATAGTAGAGAACCTTTTTTAAAAAAATCAGTATGGTGAGATTAGAATTTCAGTTTGTTTAAAGCAAAATTAAGGCTGGAAAATCAGTGTAAATGCCTTATATTTTACAAGGAGAATAAATACTAGATACATGAAAAACTTGTTGAAGCTGGGAAACAATGCTGTCACAAGTGGGCATAAATAGATTGTAACTTCTAATTGTACTTCAGAAAGCTTTTAAAAACTGTGAGGTGTTGGAGCAAGCTGCCAGTTGGAAGCATGAGAGCAAAAAAATTAAAAGCGATGTTGGAAAGCTTGCAAGGAGATACATTGCATAAGGTCAAGTTTTACAGTGCCTGGCTGTTGTGGAGAGCTGAAGGTGCTGCCTCATTTCTCTGAATTGAAGGGATTTCAAGTTCTAAATACAAATGTATGTAACTACAGATGTTAAAAGCTCCCAGTTCACTATTGGATTAATTTACTGAATTAGGATTTTTTTACATGGTGAAACTTTTACCTAATCTTTGATTTTTCTTCAAATCTTTGAACATATCACTGATAGATTCAAGAACCAACTCATGGCACCCATCAGCTTTATATGATTTAATCCTTCTCTAGGAGCTGCCAGGAACTAGGTTTACTCTGAGGGTGAAAAGAAGCACAGCTGTGTAGGACTAGTTAGAACAATTTTAAAAGATCTGAGAAGATGCTAACAGTTCTTGCAAAAAATAACACAGGAGTCAGGAAATCTATATTGCAGTCAGTGAGCACAGTGTGCATAAGTAGCAGAATGGAAAAACCTGTAATTGCTTACCTCTGAAAACTTGATGGTACATCTTTCTAAAAGGAGATTTTGCTTTGCAACCCCCCAGTAAAAGTTACTGGCTGGGAGATTTATGGCTTTCACTAATACTGCTCTCTGGACCTGGAAAGCAAGTTCAATAGAATGAGTAGTTCCAGCTGAACACTTCTGAGAATCTGTGTCTGGAAAACATATGTTTTCTCCAGTATCAAAGTACAGTGTTTTTATTTTGTAGAGAAGTTCATGTGGGGTGTGAAAATGTTGAGGAGGTGACAATGAAATCAAAGTGCATAACGTAAATTGTATCTTATGCCTAAATATTAAAGATATACATGATCTTAAGGCTACAATATTCTGTTTAGAGCATTGTAATGTTAAAAATACTACTCCATTTGGGGAAGTCTTTTTGTGTTCCATTGCAAGTGACAAATGTGTCTGTTTTTAAATAAAATGGTCTAAATATGAAAAGAACTGATGTGTAATTTGGTCAATTTAATTTTATCGTTTGTATATGTAGAATTAATAGCTGATTTGAAAGATCATGGTAATTTTAAAATATAGTCAACTTAGAAGTAAAATTTTAGATATGTTGCTGGATTGCTTTGCATATTCTAGTGATAGTATAAATAGTATTGAAGTTTCTAATGCTTCACAAGTAGTTTGTTTTTAATGAAGTAAAATCTAATTGGAAGAAAGCTATTAACTTTAGGTTACTATATTTTTAAATGTTTAAAGTACTGTTCTAAAAATTTAAAATAGCGTATTTTGGGGGAAATTTGTATGTGAAATGCTTACTTATGATTCTTTGTTTCTCTGTTTATTTTTAAGACGAGCAAAAATCAAATTAAAGTAGATCTTGTAGATGAGAATTTTACAGAATTAAGAGGAGAAATAGCAGGACCTCCGGATACACCGTATGAAGGCAAGTAAAGTTTTTGTGTATGCAATCATTGTACATTCAAGTCATGTGTCTTGAGATGCTTTGTTTGTAAAATAATTACAGCATAAAATGTAGAGGTACTTGTTTTAAAATAGTCTGATAGTTTTTTAAGCTGTATTTAAAAAAAAAAAATCAGTTCAGCCTCTGTGTTGCATGAGGAGAGATCTCTGTTTGGCAGTAGGATAGACCATCCCATATCAAGGTTAATTTACAAATATAAGCTGTGTGGTTTAATTGGTATAATTCTGACTCCTATTTGTTTCTTTACTTGACAGTTTGAGCTCCTTAACCATGAAGCATTAAGAAACTGAGCTTCAGACTGTTCATGTATTTCTGTGATCTAGAGTGGTGGTCATTCATAAATGTTACATTTCTCTTATCTCAAGCAGAGATGCTGTTGCAAGTTAAATTTGGGATTAATTTTGGGCATCTGTGTGTCCCAATACTTAATTTATACTGATGTGGGGGACTCTGCAGTAGAGCTTCCTATCTTTAGCTCTGTTCAGAAATTATACCTTACTGACTTTGTAGTTTATTAAAGCTGGTATCAGTAATTATGCATCTCCTACAGTCTGGTAAAAGCAAGGTAACTTCCATAAAGAAGCCTCAACAGAGGCTAATGTAACATGCTTCTTCAGAGATACGAAATGACTCAGTAGTGTTGGTACTTGTAAACTTTGTGTATAATTTATATGGAACTGGCAAACATACCTTCTATTTAAATTTCTTTCATGATAAGTAAGGATTTTTAATTTTTTTAAAAAAAATTTTGATAGCTTTAAAACATAGTTTTATTTGACTTTCCCATGCCAGGTATCTACTTTGATTTGAATTTTTACTTTCAATAAAAAAGTATCAAGGAGTGTCTCAGGCAAATAAATTGTTTTTTGTGGAATATGAAACAATTTTGTATGTTCTTCAGGTGCTCTAATTGCTGTATGCCTTTGAGCTAACACTGAAACTTTAGTAGTCCTTTGAGATTGGATGCATGCCATTTGTCATTATTTTGAAAAAAATAAATTCTCATCAGGTGGGGAAAATACCTGAAAATTATTTTGTAGCTATAGGAACTGTATGCACTCAAAAGCATTAGTGACTGCTAATGAAAATCTGATTGTCACATCTTCCCCAATGGAGGAGATTCCTTGTGCTTTGCGTTACTGGACTAGAAGCTCGTGCAGTAGCATTGGACTTGAGAGCAGGGAGAGTCTCCCCTCTAGCTTTGGGACCCAGGACAGGAAAAGAATGAGGAAATAGCCTAACAGTGGTTGACATGGAAAAATATTGGGCAGGGGTGGATGTCAGAAGCTGACAAGAAGGGAAATTAGCCTGGAAGAAAGAAAGTAGAAAAGTGTAAGCAGCCGTAATGGTGGGGGGTGCCCTGCAGAACTTTACTTCCCGAGTTCCTCAACAGTCTGGTAAATAAAGATGGTTTCCCCCTCTCCCTCCCTTGTCCCATGTGTCTCCATCTCATTCCCTGCAGATGTATAGTTGATAGATGATAATGTCTGGAAACAATTTATTCTGGTTGCAATATGTGCCTTCAATTTAAAAGGAGTACTATGCTGTTCACCTAAAACACAGACTTGGGCTGGTGATCTGTTAGGAAGTGAATAATTCTATTTAGAATTTAGTATAATTGTTGTTTTGCAATAGTATAGTTCATCTTGAAAATCCAAGACTTAGTATTGTAATAACTTAACATCTGTATATAAACAGTTGAATACTAGGAAACATCTGAATGGTGGTAGAAGGGTGTTGGTTTTGGCGTTTATTTTCCCTTCAGAGAGAATTAAACCTCCTTGGGTGAGTCGGTTTGTCAGAGCTTGCCATTTTCCCCCCCTTCCAGGTCTGTATTACCTTGGCTTTTAAAATGGGCCTTTTTTGGAGAATGTATTGAGAGTTATTTGAAATTAAACATGTATTCATATGTTACAAAAGTTAAAAACCGTATAGCAGGTCATGAGGAGGGTAAAAAAAGATTGAAATGTCTGTCAGCAGAACTGGGTTCTGTGTGATGCTGAATGATTCAGGTAGACAAGAATTTCAAAAGCTGGGTACTGTGTGCTCAGATATTCAGCATATCCTGCTAGTGAAAAACAGCCATATGTTTAGTGCAGAATTTGTTGATGTGAAATGCATGTACACTTAAATACCTTTGAGTACATTTAATTATGAGGATATAGTAAATGCCCCTTTTGGGGTCGGGTGTTTGAACTTATTTTTTATTCTGATTATGTCAGGGATCTCATGGAAGAGTTACGTGATTGTACGCTTACTTTAATCTGGAAGTCATATGCTTTGAGGAGCAAATTGAGACTTACTGTCAGCCCAGTTTCTGGTGTTTCCTGACATTAGAATAATTTGCTTTGGAATGTTAATATTTCTGTAATATAGTTATATGCTTTTATTCCCTTACCTAATTATGAAGGGCGTGCCAGTGTGTGTCGTCTTCACTTTATGACTATAGCAGTAATGCATGTTGCATAATTACTGACTGATGTTTTGTCATCTATAATCTGAACAGTGACACAGCAAGAAGTGCTTTATGAAGAAGTTTTATGCAGTAGTTCTGGTCAGACAGTCCCTGTGATACAGGAGGGAATTCTAGAACCATTGTGAAGTGAAAGAACAGTTGTTGACCATAGTTGGTGAGGTATCTGAAACCAAACTGCTGCTGCAAATTTTTTTATAGGTAATGTTGGTACATGAGTTAAGAATGACTGAGAGGAAGAATGCCATCTATTGACAAAATTTACAGCTTTTATTTTTCTGTTAGTAGTGTCAACTCATATTGATCAATTATCAGAGTACTGCAAGATGCAAGTTAATTGAAACACGTTTACATCCCACGTTAAAATGTGTTTGGAGAGAGGTCCTTTGAGAAACCTGATTAATGGCTGCTGGGTTTTACTTGAGTCAAGAGCTTTTCAGTAGATAGGTTGGGGTTTTGTGGGTTTGGATTTTTTGGGGGTTGTTTTTTTTTTAAAGCCTGTGTAATATTGGTATTAATTTCAAGCCAAGCGTGCATGTAAGCCACTGAAACTGCAAAATTTATAATAGATTATTTCTTCAAGGGAAATAGCTAAAAATTGCTCTAAGTCTTGTGAGACCTGTTCCAGTAGGACTACAGAAGGAATATTATGCCATTACTGTTTAATTCAATTTCAAGCATTAAATAGCCACAAAAAAAGCCATACATATGCATACTCTTTAAAAATTGCAGAAATATTGGCATGCAGAAGTTAATATATTAGTCATTTGTATTTTAAGTTTAGTATTAAAAAAAGTCACAGATTTGTTTAGGTTATGTCTTCAAGCCTGTATTTTTAACTGCAAAGTTCAGTGCAAAACAATACTGTATAAATAATACTACCAGCTCATCAGTCTCTGGTGAAAAATATTGGTGGCTGAATATCCTGTTAGGCAGAAGACTGTAATAGTTTGTGGTAAGCAGGAGAAATGGTAATACCTAAGGATAGATGTCATATTACCTTACAAAATGATGTGGCAGCAAAACTGTAGAAGGACTGATGAGTGTAGCTGTTTTGTGGTTTTTTTTGTTTTTTTTTAAAAACAGTTGCTGCTGAATTATGCTTCAGTTTAAAGAAAAGGAAAACCAAAGTTCCTCTTACTGATGTGTATCTTCAAAACTGTTTCTCCTGTGCTGTCCTGTGAGCAGACAATCAACTTAGACATTACTGTTATAATTTTGGATTTATTGGTCATTTTTATATAGTATTTTCTGTTAAAACTTCTCAAGTTACTTTAGAGTTAAGTGAGAAAAAGAACAGCTGTAGACAATAGTGTAAAATAGCAAACTGATGCTAACTAGTTTCAGGTGGAGTGTATTAGACTGAAATACATTTTAAAAGTGAGAGCTGTTAGGAGCTGCTAATGTGTTTTTTGGCATAGATGAAAAGATGCCATATACTGTAACTGCTGAGAGGAGTACTTAGAGGCTTTTTTCCCCTGTGCATCTTGCTGCCAGTATTGTAAACTACTTGAGAGCTGGTTTTGTATAGCTTGATTTGCAGAGTAAATCACTCTGGAAATCTCAAGCAAAAGAGATTGCAAATACTTCAGCTTTAATTCAAGAAATTGTATAAATTTTAGCACATTGTACTGACAGAGGGAAAAGGTTTCTGAAAGAAGAGCAGCAGGTTGAAGAAAAAAATTGCAAATGAGGATAAATGCTTTCAATTTTTTAAGAAAATGTAATGTCTCATTTGGCGTGTATGTTTTTTTACACCCTGTTCTTTTTGTCATTGAACTGCTGCCTGGCCAATGGCCTTCACTGGGCATCCAGAGACAGTTTGAGATTGCTCCAGAAGACATAAGTATTGGTAGTGAACTTGAATGTTAACAGAACTGTAATGGAAATAGGATAGGGAATGATACTGTGACAAAGAGCTAAAACTGAGAAATGTTTGAAACTGGGCAGTAGGAGGGGGTTTGATCTTCAAGCTCCTCTTATCCTTTATTGTACACTCTGGCCCTTCGTATTGTCTTAATGATACTGGTGTGTCAAAGTGTTTGCAGAATTGAAACAGAAGTAACTACTTCAGGTGGTAATCTAGAACATAATGAAAGTTAAACATTGGTACCTCCTTTATTATTTTTTTCCCAAAGCATGGGAGCTTTTCTGAAAGAGTTACTTGTACGTATTTGAATTCCAAAAAGTTTAAAATGAAATACGGGTAATTTCAGTTGTGTTATTTGAAGAAAATTTTTCATGAGGTATCAGGAAAGAGTCAGAATAATATAATATCCTATGTTCAGCCTGAATAGTCCTGTGGCCTCTTTTTTCATCTATTTAGGAGATATTTGGTTCATATTTTGGTATATTTTACTAAAATAAAGCATAGAAATTATAAGATTGGAAATGAGAATAATAAATACACAATAAATATACCTAAGAAATACATGATAAATATACCTAAGAAATATAGGTACAGATTAGCACAAGTAAACACAGCTTTTCTAACTGACTTTATTGCATTTTTTTATGAAATAGATGAAATCTAAATGAATCTCCTAACTAATATGGCTGGGTAAATTTGAATTAACTTGAAAATCTCATTTAGAAGTGTAAGCATTAGTGTCATGAAAGATTAAGTTTGAGTAATGGTCTTTTAGTATAATTTCCAACTTGTTTTTGTCTTTTGCAGGTGGAAGGTATCAGCTAGAGATAAAAATCCCAGAAACATATCCGTTTAATCCTCCTAAGGTACTACAAACACACATTTTTGGATAATACAATTTGGCTAACAAATTTGGTTTGAATATTCTTATATACTTGTTTCCTTGTTTGTTGGGCTTTTTTTTTTTTTTTTTTTTTGGTGGTTTTTTGTTTTGTTTTTGTGTGTGCGTGTTAGTTTGTTTTGGTTTTTTAAAATTCACTTCTAGACAAGGATTGGAGCTGTAATATTTTGGTAGAAACAAAGCAGGATTACAAACTTTGTCCAATCAGAAGTACACTCTGATTGTTCCTAAAAGTACAAACTGGGAAATTTTGGGGAGGAGCTTGGGTCTTAATATTTTCCTGACAAGATAAATGCAGTTTTCAGGTAGTTTTAAATGATATGGAGAATACAGCTGTCTTCCCTCCCCCTCAGCGTTGTTGAAGAAATGTCATAATAGGGAGGTATTGGTTCTTTTAATTTCTTGGGCTCCATAAGTTATACTTAAAAGGTTCTTCAATCTAATGTACCAAGTTTCTAGTAATAATTAAATAGAGACATGTAGTGTTGTGTGTCTTGAAGAACCAACAGAGAAATATAATAGTCTTGCTGCTTCTCTGTTGAAGGAATATATAACATGCACATGAGTGAGAGATGAGAAATGGCTGTGGTAAAGTCACTGATATTTTTCACAACTTATTTGCCTTTTAACTTTACTGCATCTTTTTAGAACTTCAGGTTTGTGATTCCACTCTGAATAATGTTCTCTCCAGCCATGTGCAGCTGTACATTCATGTACCCTGATTTAGTCCACTCTTCAGTGGCTTGGACACCTGAGTTGTCTGACTCCACTTCTTGATTGGTTTTCTGTTTGTCTGAAAGATGTGTTTGAACCAAGAACATGTCTTAGATTCTTACTATTTTCACCCTGATATGTAATACTGGGAAGGAAGTGAGGAAGAGGAAGGAGAGAGGTGCCAGTAGTTCTTAGGTTCTTTGAATTACTTCCTTGGGGCTGGAGCAAATGACACAGAAAATCTTAAAGAAATGTCTGTTGGTCTACAGTTCTTTAATCTGCACACGTTCTGGTGGGAACTGAAATAAGGAGAGCTGAAACAGGTTGTAGATGCTGAAAGATCAGGCTGTATACCATGATGTAGTTGCTGCTTTAGGGCTTGGTGGTCTCCATTTCCAGAGTTCATAGGCAGCTGTTAGAAGCTCAGTGCATTGTAGCATAGTACTGCTTATTCTGGAGTCTTGAATTGGAAACCTTTTTCCCTGTGTCTGGCCCTGCCTTTCATCTGAAAGATTTCTTTAGCTTGTTCAGTATGTGCTTTCACAGCCATTGTTAGTAGTCATTTGCTGTGAGAAATTATCCAGTATTTACATTGCTTTTTACTTTTTCCAAGTGATTTCTATAGTTGAGGTAGTTAATAAATGCCTCAGCTGACATGGTAGCTTATTTTTGTCCTGGAAAGCAGAGCTGTTCTGGTCTTGCCTATTTAGACACCAGGATTGCACTGATTTTTTTTATAGCTCTGTATGTACAGTCTTGCTGTAGTGCCCAACAGATAATCTCTTTGTTGATTTACTTGCAGGTCAGGGGCAAAAGTTGAAAGATCTGTGCTGTACATAAAATGTTTTTCAGGAGTTTGGGGTGAGGAGGAGATGAGAAACAGATGGATTAAAATCACTAGAAGGCAATTACAATGCAACCTGAAGAAAATGAAGGGAGAATTTCCAAAGGCATGTGTCTTTTCTGAGGACAGCTTTGGTCTCCAAGACCTTTAAGAGAAAGTGCTGCTTTTACCTTTCTCGGTGTCTTAAAATACCCAGAAAACCCGAACCACCAAAACCTGATTTTAGTAATGCTTTGTGAACATGAATACACTTCAGTGTAAAAATATTGACATGATTAATGAATGAATGCTGTGACTAGATCCTTTCAATAGCAAAGAAAAATACTAGTAACCTAATTAAATTTTGGGTTGGTGGACAGCTTTCTGCATATGTGGTAATGAGGTAGGATGGCTGTAGATGTAGTAGCATCCACTTTCTAACACATCTGTAGCCAACAGTTTAGCTCAACAGTGAATGATATCCAGTTCCTGTGTTAAGAGTTTTGGACTTTGTCAAATCTAGAAAGCCCACTTTGAGTAATGTTAGGAGTTTTAAGTCTGTATTTGACCATCTGCTTGTCAAAACACTTGTATGCTGGAGGATATTTTTAACTAGCTTTGTGTGATGCAGGGATGTGAACACATGACATGTGAAAAAGCAGTTAGGGATGAGTCTGGGGAGCTGGAATGGGCAGTAGTCTGTTTTGAGTAAGGTGAGGCTCTAACAAACAGCCTTACAAACTTGCAACTTCCTGAAATAAGCAGTATCACATCTTACTTCCATTTGTAGTACTACATTTTCTAAATTTCTTCATACTGTTATTTAAAATGGTGGATTTAAAATGTTTACTTAGTATACTGAATTTAATTACTGCTTTTGTTTTTAAAAATTGTCTTGTTTTTTAGGTGCGGTTTATCACCAAAATATGGCATCCTAATATTAGCTCTGTCACCGGGGCCATTTGTTTGGATATTCTGAAAGATCAATGGTAAGATTCCACAGGGGTTTAAATGTACAAAATCAAGTATACTGGTGTGGATAGGAGGCATCATCTCACCTTGCTTTTCACCTTGTGCTTATAATTTGAGATGTCCTTAAAGCACATGTTATGGTATAGTATTCTGAGGTGCAAATATGAAAATGAAATGATTGGGTGATAATTTTGGAAAGCACTAAGTATTTATTAGATACACAGAGAGTTTTTCCAGAAATTTTTTCACTAGGATGAACATTTCATTGGTGACATTTTGGGTGGTTTTATATGTAATTTTTAATTTTAGTTCTTTTCTGTTAAGAAATATTACCTATTGCCTTCTTTGATCAGTTAATTTTACTGCAGAAGTTTTAATAGCCAAAATCTCCAGAATAGACTTATGTCCAAACTAACAGCTGCACTCATTGTTCATTTGTTTTTCAAAGTAATTGATTTCATGTGGTTTGAAGATTGTGTACAACAGTTGTATGATAGACATGATACCTAATACAAATGGTAATTTTCCTCCATGTTTGCTCCAAAAGAATAGTACTGTAATTCCGCAGCAGATCATACCAGTATCTAATCCATATGAACTTGAACTGCTTGTAAAGTCAACAACTTTGTCACAAGTGCTGCTGGCCAAGCAGACATGAATTGGGTTTGAAACAGAAACTTTAGAGGAGAATGCTGAAGTCCTGAGGTCTTGTGAGTGACATATCCAGGGTATTAATCTTTTACAGATGTACGAGATTATAGAAATCATCTGGCACAGTATAGTGTAAATTACTGAAATAAAATTGTAATGATCTTAAACTGTTGTTTTTCTAACTTTTGGAATGGCGTATGTTTTCTTACCATCTCAGAGCACTTGATATTCTTTCAGACAATAGAATCTTTCAGTATACATGCTGGGGTACCTGGCAGAATTTTTATATCAGTAAATCTAGTGCACTTCTGTACCTGCATCTAATTGTCATACCACCCTACAATTTTACTGGAGATTAATGACTCTACAACTGTCCAAGTACAGTCTCCTGAGAGATTGTACTCTGAAGCAGATTAATGAATGGGCATTAGGTTGTCTGTAAGTATCAAAAGGCAACACAGATGTAAAAAAACCATGAGCTTCAACTTAATTTATGTACTTTTGGGGTTGTTAGTCAAAACCTTTGATATTTGAGAAGGACAAACAGGAGAGTTGACCTGTGTTCTTGTAATCTGAGTTATGTCTAGCACAGATAATTTGATCTGTCTTATTTCTGTTATTTCTGCTTGATTAAAAAAACCCAAACATTAATATCTTCCTTCTCCAAGATGTATACAAAACAGGAGTATTGGAACAAGAATTTTACTTCTGTATGTTTATACCAGCTGACACAAGAAGCACCAGTATTATGCCAATCATATAGTTTTAAACTCTTCGTTTGAAGCAGTGTCTTCATGTGGAAACACTAAGGAGAGAATTGCACAGAACCTGGTGGTGACAGTCTGAGATTTCCAGTATACTATTAATCCCTCTTCAGATGATCCTTAATGTAGTGTGGTCCCTTCATTTAATAGTGGCGCTATTTGTAAGTTTTGATTATTTCCAAATCATAGAATGGTATATGAAAATCACTTGAGCATTGTTAAAGTGCTCTTCAAGCCTCTAATCCTTTGATAAGAACAACCTTATAGCTGTCTCCAGTGTTTACTGTTTGAAGCATTTCTGTATTGTGGTAGATAAGACTGGTTTTCCCCTGGGTAACTTCCTAAAACTGACTAAGCAATATGGATGATTAATATAGTTTAAGTAAGTTGTTTATTGTTCTTCAATATATGCAGCTTTAGTTAAATAAGAAATGCCCACAGCATAGAAACATAGAACCATAGAATTTTGGGTTGGAAGAGACGTTAAAAATCATCTAGTTCCAATCCCCCTGCCATGGAGAGGAACACCTTCCACCATACCAGGTCAAATCTGAAGTGGCAACATTCCTAGTATAAGAGCATGCAGACAAAAGTAAGTATGTACAAAGGCATACTTGAGAAAAATTACCCTCAGATTCAGTGAAATACTTGCAGATGCATTCTCAGTGGGCAAAGGATTAAGCCTTGAGGGATGGTGAAGGAATTAGCCCAGGCTTTGCTGGCTTTCCATGGCAATCCTCAGAGTCTCACAAACTTGAGAGTTTGCTGGCTCTGAGAGTCACTCCACTCTAGGAAATGCTGGTCACAGCCTGCTGTGGTCCATGACAGCTCAAAGGGTTTCAGTACCACTGTTCATAGATAGGGTCACAAGATGATTGACTTAAATTGTCAGTAAATTTCCATCCTGGCCACAAGGATGAGTTGGTATTTACTGGAATATTCCTTGAAAAGTCCAGTAATAAAAATACTGTTCCACTTGATCTCTTGTTCAGATGGAAGAAGGAACTCAAGGCTATTTGTTGGAAAACAGGAGCTTGCTAGACAACAGAAGTTCTGGGAGCAGACAGTGTTTTTGATAAGCTCAAGGAAACCTCACTGCCATTAATCCAGGCTGAGCCCTAACAAGCATTCCTGAGACCATAGCTGGCCTAAAGAGGGAGCCGGCGGGGGGGATGTACCACCACAAACCACCAAAAATAAGTTTTCTTTATGTCTAGGTTGAAAAGTGGTTTGAATAAAACAGCTTCATCGGAAAACAAACAAAAAATAAGCAATCACCCCCTCCATTCATATTTTAATATTTAAGTTATTTCACCAGGGATTCTAAAGTAAATTGGCCAAATGCAATTCTGAAATATACCTGTGGAAGTATTCTAGAAAATATATTAGTTCCTCAATTTGTCTTGTCAAATCTTTTAGCAACAAGATCTGTTTTTGAAGTGCTGCTTCGTTGACTTGTAATGCTTTTAACTGAATAATGCTCATTTTGTTGCTGTGTTTAAATATAAGTCTCAAATTCCACTGCATATCTGTTTTTCAGTGAGGTTTGAGAGTTAAAGGACTAGAGAAGTTTGGCCTATGGACCTTAGCAGGATTTTTGAAAGAGTTAATGAGGTGATAAAATGCTCCTTTATAGATGTTGACTACAAATACAAAGATTTAAATGTTTGTATAGTTTTATAAAGTCTCTTCCCTACTCTCCCATTCTATGGTAATGATTTGTTGTTCTAATGAGCATAGTTGAGATGATATTCTGCATATTGGCAGGAGATTTTATCAGTTTGCAAAGTAATGTCTTTAAATTATTTTTAATGAGTTTAATGAAATTCTTTTTCCATGTTGCAGGCTTGATACTGAAATTCTTTGCAGCTGTGGATTTTCATCATGTTTAGATTTTTAAATACCTGTTATGCCAGTTTGTTTGCAGAGCAGCTACTGTTTGCCACTAGAATTAAAATAGGGGTATGATGTTGTAAAAGGAATACTGTTTATGCTTATCTGACATAATTTTCATTGTGGTTTCACTTACTATGGCCTACATTTATCTTCCGGGCTAGCACTCTGTCTCAAAGCTGTAATCTTAAATATACAACATATCTAATGCAGTTCATTGAAACCTGAGAACTAAATTACTTGAAAGCTGTTCTGCATAAATCCCTTGAGCAGAGATTATTAAGTGAATGTGCCCTTGCTGCATATATGGCTACAAAAACTCTTGGCTTTTGTGGGTTTGACAGTCAATAATGAATAATGAGATATTTTTCTCATAGTGACTACTGGAGGATTTGTGCTTCTGTTTTAGTTGAGATGCGGAAATCATTATAAGAGATAATACAGTTTTAATAGATAAACAGGCAAACAGGCAGCTTGTAATCTTCCTGGGTACCTAGTACTGCTGGGTTATGTTCTGGGTGTTTGAGGAGCCCTGAAGCTTCTTAAAGCTTTGAAAAGAATGCAGAGAATATTAACAACATGGGTTTAGGGAACCCTTCAGCAAGCAGGCTGTCTTTCCCCTCTGTGCTGTGTCAAAGCTATCCTATTATTCTTTTTGTTTATTTTCTCTGATGGGTGCCTGGTCTTGCAGTTTTCCTGTAAATAGTGACTATGCAACAGTCTTCTACTCAAAGGTCTTATTAATTTCCTTCCAAATTCCATAAGCCATTGGTACACGGTCCCAGTGATTTTTCTCTTAGATTTACAAACTTATTTATTTCACAAATGGAACAAATATTACAGATTATTCAGAAAAAAGTGTTCCCGTAGCCATGTTTGGATGACGGAGTGGAGTAGCAATCTGCTGGCTGCAGCTGTTCCTGGCATTCTGCTTCGTTACCCTCTTGGAATAATGAGAGAGATGTTTCCTAGAGTGGAATGTAAAGAACATAAGTAAAAACTTCCTAAATGGAGAACTACTTAGCTTTTAAAAATGGAGAAGAAAAATAAAACCTTGCAGTGTTTTGTAATCCTCTTAGGATTCTCTCTGCTCATCAAAAGGTAAAAGAGATTTCTTTCCTCGGGCATGCTGGGCACAGCTGGCTTGCTGTGCCTTTTAATGTTAACACTACAGTCACCCAAACTAGGGGTGCTTTTTTTAAATGGAAATGCCCTAAGATATGATAAAAAAAAAAGGAGTAAAAAAGTGTAAGTGAACAAAATGTACATCAGCTGCCTTTGTTCTGATTCAATCCAGATTTTCCTTGCGGTTTAGCGGCTGTAATGCCAATAGAAAGCCGAGCTTTTGGTTTGGATGTCCAGAGTGGAGGCTTTTAGGTTCTCTGAGAGACAGTGCATCCCTGTAGGGAGCTCTCTGCAGCTCACTGCTGCATGGTAGTGGCCTCTTTCCATTTTGCAGATGGCAAACCTGCATGATAGCTAAGCAACATTTTGGGATGGGAGTGGTAGTCAAGGGTTATTGTAAGCTTTAGGAGCAAACAGGAGCCAGTAATGTCATGAGACAAAGGCCATGTAAGGTCATGTGCAAGGCAAATAGGAAGTTTTACCTGTAAAACTCATTATACAAGCTGACTGCTTGTCGCTAGAGATCAGTCAGGTTTCCATTTCAACTGCTTAGAGAGTTGTTGTACAAGAAAGATGGGAACCATAGGAAAAATCTAGAGTGAAGTAACAAGAATGATGGTCTAAGCAACAGCAATGTACAGTGAAAGATTGGAAAGCTATCTCAGTGTGCAAAGTATCAAGCATGGTGAGGAATTGAAGTAGATTTTCCAAGAGCTTTCTGAGGCTTTAGTTAAGAACAAATCAGATGGAAGTCTGTCAGGAGCAATACAAAGCCTTGCCTTTGGCAAGGAGGAGAGAACAAACCTAGAACACAACCATGCAGCTAGCTTGAGTTACCAAAGAGAATTGCTTGCTCCATGAGCTGTTGCACATAAATCCATACCTAGAAGTAAACTTGAAATGTAAGAAGAGTTGGAAATACCTGATTTTTTCAGGGTTCTATTCTAGATCTAGAAACCTTTGAGGTGCATTGGAAAATTCAGAAGATCTGTATCTTTGCACTGGAAATTCGTTTCAAGGAAAATGCAACTTATTTTTTTTCATTCTTCCCCTGGACATTCTTCTTTGGCTTGTGAAGATGTTGGGGAAGGGGCTGGGTGTATGTGTTGGGATTTTTAGTTTTGTGCCACTGTCAATAGAGATTTTCTTTCAGAAATGATGATGGAAGTTGTTTCTGCTTTCTGCTCATGTGCAACAGGTCCTGCCTTACTGGTGTCTGTAAATATAATTCTAGGCAGTCATCTCCATTCACTGTATTCTCCCAAAAGAAGGTAACAGGAAGAAAGAAGGGCTTTTAAGTTCATGGGAAATCAGAATCTATTTTTAGCTGTTCTTCAGTTTCTTCTGTGAATCTTAATATATATCTGAAAAAATAAGACTAAGATATGTAGAAAATAGCAAGCCATCTTTACTTCCTTTGGTCAGGAAAGCTATTTGGTGTTCTAAGGGTAGAAAATTTTAGATGGTTATGCAGTAGTTACACAAAATATGTCAGTTTTTCTTTACCATTAATCACAAACTTTAATTCTTCTTGTGTTTAATATGAACAGCAACTGAAGCTGTAATGGGCTTTCTTTTATGATTTAAGAATATTTCTTTCAGTGTTTGTGTCCAATAAAGACTGTCTTATTATGCATGAGATGGGAAAGCTGTTTTGAGACATGAGACTAGAAAATAAGTTGTAAGCTACATTTCTAAATCTTTTTATAAAGGCTAAACAATCTTGTCTGAAACGTAGTATTTCAGAGTTTAAAGTCTCTGATCATATAGCCATCTGTATATTAAATGAATAAGTTGTTGCTTTTCATTGTTATTTTGAAATTGGAATGGCAGATGTTCAAGTGTCAGTATGCTTTGTATAAAATCTACAAATGTAACAGGTGAACAGGCATTGAAAGGACCTGGCAGTCTTGAAAGCCAGAGACAGCTGGTGTCCATGGCACCCTTGAGTCTTAGTGATGCCCCCTGCTCCCCAAAGTATATTTTACACTCCTCTCTTAGAAGGTTCAGTGTAAGTGGAAGTAAATTGCATGTAAAAGTGGCACAAAAAGCTGTGATCCTTTTTATGTAATTTTCTCTACATTTTCAGATGTCTCTGAAGTAGAAGGATTTCTGGAAAGGACAGAACAACTCTTTTTTTGCAGAAAGTAACTATATAGTAAATTGCATGTAAAAGTGGCACAAAAAGCTGTGATCCTTTTTATGTAATTTTCTCTACATTTTCAGATGTCTCTGAAATAGAAGGATTTCTGCAAAGGAAAGGACAGAACAACTCTTTTTTGCAGAAAGTAACTATTCCATTAGTTATGGTTGATAAATATTTCATGTTAAGTCAGTCTTTAAAACTCTATAGTAAGTTACTGTATATAATAAATATAATGACTGTAATAATAAAATTACTTAACTGAGAAAAAGACTTCAGGTTTTACAGTAGGTGTGGCAAATGTGGTAGTACCTGAAATTGACTGCATAAAAATAAAAATTATTGCATCCACTTGAGCATAGTGAGACCTGAAGGACTTAGTATTCCATGACGCCTGAATGGTGGAATAGTAAATATGTTGCATTACACTCCTGTAATGCTAGCAGATGAGACTGTGAATTATGTCATCAGTGTGTACATTAAATAGGTTAATTTCAAGATAGTATAAACCAGTAGAGATTACAAGCCTAAGGAAATTATAGGAGCAAAATAACATTAGGTACATGTAAAGAAAAGAAAATTACTAAGGAATAGGTCTGAAAAGGAGAATTTTATGTTGTGATGGTTTCGTGATTTGTCAGAATTCAGATTTAAAACCATAAGGATTTTTTTAAGATTTAAGTATACTACGTTCATCTCAAGGGACTTCAAGATGGTGTGGCAGTTGGAATGAGACACTGTGTGCTAATTAAAATCTCTGTCATTTGGGATGTTTCTCACTTGCATTTTGATGTCGAACACTGCACAGCGAAAGCTCAGCAATAATTATCAAGCTAAAAAATAACTTAATGAGAAAAATCTTCCAGAATTACAAACAATAAGGGAAGAATGGCATGTTTGAATGGTTAGTAACATAGCAAGAAATCTGTGAATGCATCTAGGAACATAATATTTGGGTGCCACAAGTGTACCTCTGACATATTACCAGCACCTATTCTTTGTTCATTGGTATACACTGCTAGAGTACCTTAATACAGTGACTCAGTACTGGAATATACATAAATTTGTGAAACCTAAGGCTGGAAATGCACTTGGACACCATTTCCTTTGTAGATGGACCGTCAGGTCAAACTGTTCCCCACCTATTCTAACAAACCCTTTGCATTTATTTGCAATCTTACGAGCACAATAAGCTGCTTTCTGTTGATTGAATATTGAGGTTTGTTTGTAAGAAGTTGGATGCCCGGTGTTTCACAATTTTCCTCTGGCATTCATGTGTCCTAATCACTTTGTTCAAATCTAAAATGTCACATCTTCCTCACTCACCTTGCTCCTAGCTCTTAAGCAGAGGAAACAGATTTGTGTATTGGTGTGAACATCTGTCTGTGCCATTACCACGGTGATTATAAGAATCTAATTAACTGTTCAGAAATACTCAACTTTCACAGGGTCTGTGGGGCTCTTACTTGGTGTGTCAACTGAAATGGTAATTCAGAGATGTTATTTACGATCAAAATCAAATGAAACTGTGTAAATGTTACAACTTTCCAGACTTGAAGTGTGTAATAATTTCATGTGATTACTTTTGAGGGTTTATTGATGTCTCTGAGCATACTGTGTTTTCCCTTACTAAATTACTGAAGTGTCTTATTCTAAATTCACTTTGAGATCAAGACAAATGGTTAGAACCTAAAATCTTAGAAGTTCCAACTCTGGGACTGTGCTACCTTCAACAGGGTTCTTCCACAGGGGCAAAGAGTAACTTTACAGGACCATTGTGACTACAGAATGCTTTCCTGCTGCCAACAGTCAGGTTGTAGTGAGAGGAAGCCAAGGAGGTATTTTGATTGCACATTCCATAATTAGCCTATCCTTTTTATTATTGTAGTAGTAATTAACTACGTAAATGGTTCAGTTTAATGAAAAACGCAATGTTAAAACTGGTGCAAAGAGACCTAGTGTGTAGAATTCCTTACCTGTTCCGCATGTTTAAAATGTAGGTCGCTGCTCCTGCACGGAGTGCCGGCAGAGGGAGCATCCCCGGGCTGCGGGCCCCGCCCCGCCCCGGGACAGAGCTGCTGGTACCGGCAGTGAGGGAGGATGGCACAGCCTCTTCTGCCCTTGGTTTTTTTCCCCAGATGAAATGAATTGCATTAAATGGGCATGGTGAAATCTGTAGGTCAAGGTACTTTCCAAAAATTTCAGAAAGCATTGTTAATAGGAAAGTCCACATTTAAAACCTTAATTAAGTATATTTACAGAACAGTATTTTAATAACTATAACCTGCAGCAGTTTAAAATTATGTTTTAATGGACTTGAAATCTGTACATGAACTCATATCTTCTATGATAGTACAGCCACAAGGGTCAATACAGGCACGGGATATGGTTAAGGATATTTTGAATTTTCAATTTTAGGGCAGCAGCAATGACTCTAAGAACAGTGTTGTTATCGCTGCAAGCGTTGTTGGCAGCTGCAGAACCAGATGATCCACAAGATGCAGTAGTGGCAAACCAGGTAAGATACTCAGTTGACTGTGATTCTGTAACACGTCTGACATCTTTACTGACTCAGTTTAGGACCCAATGCTTACGAGATAAAAGATTTTTAAATGATGTATTGTAAAATTGCATATTCTAAATGTGAGCTGCTACAGTGTTTTGTGCTCTTTTTGAATTCCAGAGTGAGTATTAGTTACTCTACAATGTCAGGAGGATTTGTTCTTTATTTATATCAGCTTGTGAGAAATGTCAGGAGATAACAGCATAGTTAAATGAATTCCAGTGTAACTGGCCTTGCAAAATCCAAAGCTTCCAGTGTAGGAAAAGCAATATGCTGTCAGTTTTAAATGAGTTTTGTGCTCATTTAAAACTGACAAGTTTTAAATGAGCACAAACCAAGTTTTTAACTTGGTGGTGTTAATTTGATTTGGCTTAGTATGTAACTCTTTTGGATTAATACGAATGTTGTTGAGCATTGTATTTGTTTAATGTCAAAATTTAATAATGGCTTGGGGATAACTGTTTTAATCACTGATTGAATTGCTATCAGTAAAATTTTATAACCAACAAGGTTTGGTTACCTTTCAGACATTAGTGGTAACTTTTAATACCAAAAAAATATCAGTTGGATCTTGGGCCATACGAGGACTGGCATGATTCTGTTTAAAGTGTTGCTGAAGGGTAGAAGCAGTCATTCCTCTGACAATTCTCAAATATGTGTGTGTTTTCCTTTTTACTCTGGGGAGAGTGAAGGGCAGCCTGGCTTCCCCACTGACATAATAAAGGGTGTATTTCAGTTACAGAAAAACAAAGCAAGCTGATGCTGGAAGAACCTTCTATCTCACCTGTATCTTCTCTAAGTCAGAACCCTCCAGGATAGGGTGACAAGGTGTGCACTACTTCCCCTTAAAAGTCAGTGTAGAATGATAGATAAGCTTTTTTTTCCAAGCCTGTCAGGATTCAGGGGTACACGTGGAGCTTAGAGGCAGCCCATTGCACTGTTGGGTATGTGAGAGCTCTTTGCTACCACTGTGCTCAGTAAGTACAGAAGGCTTGCACTGAGGTTGCTCTGAATAAATGTCCCTGAACAGTTCTGTCAGGCTGAATTGCTCTGTCCAGGGAGAAGTGTTGCAAAGGCCAAAAAGGCCACCGGGCATGTCCCTGCACTGGGTTTTTTTTCCAGATGTATGCCCTTGCTGTCACACTCCTTCATTAACAAAAAAAAACCCCAAACTATATATCCTTTTTTACAAAGAGCAAAAATAGTGTTTCCTGTTCTGGCTCTGATGGTAGAATTTTGTGTGGGAATCATAACAGTAGAAGCACTTGAGCTGGTAAGAGTTTTCATGTAAAGAACTCAATGAAACTTTTTAGATGCCAAAGAACAACTTTCCAGGCTGCCCCTTGTATGGGTGTGTGCTGTGTGATTGTGGCATGGCTGATGTTGGGAGGATTCATTTTATCCTGTTTCCTGCAAATACCTGCATGAAAACTATGCTGGGCTTTGGCCCTGAGTTATAGGCATGTGTATGTAAGTAGAAAGTGATTATCATATTTTTGAGGGAGATGTTGGTAAACAACTGCTTTTATCATGTGTTTATTTGGTGTTGGGGTCTCTTTTACCTTGTTTGGGCTTAATTGCTTTTTCCAAGACAAAAATTCACAAGGAATTAATTATTCTCCACACTTGTGCTATTTTATTAAACTGTGTGTTGTCCAAGTAAATGGCAAAAGCTCTTGAGAGAATCCCAGGGAGAATTCCTGTTTGAGTAAGAACAGTATTTTCAGACACCAGCTGTCTGGTGTATTAGTTGCTCTGGTTGCTGGGGTTTTTTTCAGTACAGCAGCATGAACTGCCTCAGATTCTTGATACTGAAACATCAGTGAAAGTTGCCTTTAGGCTTTTCTAAATTCAGAGAGAAACTGGAGTATTTACAGGTACCTAAGTAAAGTAATTCTATTAATAGAACACTGAAAGCTAGTTCTGAGTAAAATGCAATTATGACTAATTTTTTGCACTTCAGCTAGTTGCTTTCCAGGCTTGGCAGTGTTCTCAAAAATATGTAAAAAAAATTAATTGGGGAAAATCTCTTAAGAGCAGAAGAAAATAGTACTTCAGGATGCTACTGGTGTTTAACTTAATCCTCCTTCTTTTTTAATCATTACACCAAAGGACTTCTGTTACAGACCACTGTATTTATAACAGTGGTTTATTTCCAACAATAGATTGCCTCCCATGTTTGTTTTATTGCCATTAATGCCACCAGATAGTAAATAGACAAATTATGACCTGTGGATCAGAATTACAGGGAGGTGGGCAAGGCACACAAAGCAGTGTAGTTGGTGTGGGTTGTTGTAGGAGAGGCAAAATGAAACATGCAGCATTTTACATGCTTTATAGATCTAATTATTACTTTCATGTAATAATGAAATGTCTAAGAATGATAATCAGCCATGTTTCTGTCCTTAAAATGTACCTAAATATTTGAAAAATGTATTTCCTAATATCTTGTCTTATTAAAGTGATGATCTAAGGGAAGAGGTTTTTTTTAAGACAAACTTGATATTGCATACGAAAGTTGTTAAAATGGGAAAATCATGTAACTTTTTTGAGTACAGTTTATGACAAATGACCCACTTTCTTGGCAGCTGAGTTCTTGGCACAACCTAAAAATTCTCTGCAATACAGTCCAGTCTGCTGTTTATTGGAAAATTGGTTAGTGCCGAGATTGGTACAAAATGATACAGTTACATACTGGCATGATTTTTTTTTTCCTGGTAAATAATAGCTTCCATGAAGAGTTGCAGCTCCCTAGCTTTTGTAACTGGCTCAGCCATTTTTCAGCCCTTCTTCTGTCACCTGTGTGATTAAGATCCTCATTCTCAGGAAGAAGCTTAGTAGTAGAATATTGGCCTGGACTGAAAAACTGCAGGCCTACTTGCAGTGTGTAAAACAATATATATTTTTAAGTGGTTAGAGAAATGCATTAGAGTAGTACATAGTGCCATGTTCAGGAGATGTTAACACAGGGAGGAGAATTTGTACTCTCTTGCACTGAATATTAAGCTGTGCTAAATGTAGCTCCTTTGCTTTGATCTGTGCAATTGAGAGCAGTACCTGGTTGCACACATCAAATACCAATAGTGCATAATTTAACCTGAAGGAAAGCTCATTATATCAAATGCTTGCATAGGTTTGCTCTTTGTGTAATCCTCACCTCTAAATTTGCTTCAAGAATAGCAGCATGGTCAGTATGAAACATTGTGGAAGATATCATAGGAAGAATGATGGGTTGCAATCTGCCATATTGTCTTGCTGTTTGGTTGGATTGCTGAGTTGATTTAACCTTCTGCTTTTCCCCCTCTCTCTTTTGTGTAGTACAAACAAAATCCAGAAATGTTTAAACAGACAGCTCGGCTTTGGGCACATGTGTATGCTGGGGCACCAGTTTCTAGTCCAGAATACACCAAAAAAATAGAAAACCTCTGTGCTATGGGCTTTGATAGGGTAAGTACAAATAACTTAAATATTTTCAGTAAGGACAGGGCAGCTTTATGTGTATAAATACAGCGAATCATCAGTATCATCAGAATCTACTAAAGTAGATTCTCTCTTTCATGACATTGTGTAGGTCCAATTATTCTATTTTGCTAATTATTTTTAAGAATTTGAGTTTTAAAATACTACATTATGGATAATTCTTTTGAGCTCCCCCTGCCTTTTTGAAACAATTCTTCTATCAATTATTAGTTGGGATTTAAGAAATGGTAAACTAATGCGTTTTGATTTTCTGTGAACTTTTCATTTCACTTCCTGGAACTGCAGGTTCACACACTGAAAATATTATTGCTTTTGTTTTCTCATTGCAGAATGCAGTAATAGTGGCCTTGTCTTCAAAATCATGGGATGTAGAGACTGCAACAGAATTACTCCTGAGTAACTGAGCCATATAGAGAGAGCTGCTTCTGTAGTCCAGCTTGCCCCTTCTGGAGGAGCATCACCATCTGTTATTCCTAGGATTCTATATAGATTCTCTTTCAAAACTGGCACTCTTGCCTGATGATGCTATCTAGGCACTATTGGAGACTGAAAAAAAAGCGCTCTGTAAATAAAGCTAATTAAACGTCTGTGTAAATTTAAAAAGGGGAAATACTTTAATTTTTTTTCTTACTAAATATTGTAAAAATTCTTTGAGCTCAGCTAAGATAATGGGGGAAAACTATGCCTACTTTAGTGTTTAGCAGTGTGACAAAGACTAGCAGGAACTTGCTTCAGGATTTTGATTTAGTAATTCAGAAAGCAACATTTTGAGTGTTAGTCATCAAAATTGTTGGTGCCACTCATCACAGTTATCTTACTGTTTTTAACATGGATCCTATGTGCCTGTGGATTGACCTATATTTGCATGCTTGTACTTAATAGACATATTAGGTAGGGTCGCTGAAGAGAGCACCATTGAAATACTCAATTGCTTTTGTAACTTTTTTCCTGACAGACTTTCAAGACTTACCCAAAGTTCTAAATGGTGACCTATTCAGAACCATTTTCTTTCTAGCTTATTAATTGGGAATACTGATTCTCCTCTCCCTTACATCATACTGTTGATTATGTTTCATCATCTGTGGGTATTATGTGTGCCATTGCAGTAGTCTAGGCTCCCCTTTAAAAATATATATTTTGAATTATCAGTAGTGATTTTCATCCATCATATTTTCTACACAATCATGTAAGGAGTATGTCTCAATACAGCACAAAAAGAATGGAGCTGGTTTCATTTCCCTTTTTTTTTTTTTTTGTCTTAAATAGCTGTAAAGTGTTCTTCAGTACACTCTGGATAATATGATTTCACAGGCTTTGAAGGAGAGCACAGCTGATTCTCCAGGGTACTGAGAATGGAAAAAAAAAAATTTTTTGAGTACTTGATATGATGCAATCAGCTGTTTTTTGCAGCAGTTTTCTAGCTTTATTTTGGGCTTCAGTTTAAGGATTGCTTACCAGGTACTTTAAAATTCATCCTTGCTTGCATTTTTCTCTGGTTAACACATGGAGGCTGTGTTGGTGTTTTTGCTGTACATACTTCAGCTGCCCTTAGAAGTAGAAGTGTGTTCTCAATTTAGCTTCTTTTGATTGATGTTTCTGATAAACGAGAACTGAAATCTTACCTTGGCTTGTACATACAGTCAGTCTTTTTATTTGTATTAAAATGACATTTCATCCTGAGTGCAAAAGCTTGAAAATTATTAGTCTTGCAACTTCAAACACTAGTACATCTATTTAAAGAGAGCTGTAATGTCTTTGTGAATATGATGCTAACTTTTGAGAGTATATCTGACAAGGAAGTTCAGAGAAATCCTGAGAATAGAAAGTGGGGATTGTGGATAATGGAGTACTGTATCAGTCATCTTTTCTATTACTCTTTTGTTTTGTTCTGGTTTGGTTTTTTCTTTTCTCCTGGGCTGTGGATTAATGGGGTGGGGAAATGTATGCCTGCTTGGGGTTTTTCTAGAGCTGTGAAGTACAAATTGAAATGTTTTTGCACTTCATGGTCTGTTTATAACTCATACTAGATGAAATCAGGATCATTATGGTATCTGGTAAATACCTGCAGCATAGTAGTAGGGGAGCAAAACCAGAAAACAGAGCTGTCAAGACCTGGCTAGTTCTGGGATGTTCCCTGTGCTGCTCTGTCTGATGTGTCCAAACTTAAAACAGGGCACAGACAGCAAATACTTCGAACTCATACCAGTGCAATACTAAACGCATTTGCTTAGTCTTTATACTTACTGCTTTTTAAGGTGTAGTCAGTGATCAGTTTTCTTGGGTTTTCTTGAGTTAGTGTAAATCATTTGCAATGATGCCAAAGGAAATGAGTTGTTTTGACTTTCCTTATATTTATTTATTTTTTTTAACAAGAAGCTGCTACTGTTCAGCTGGTTTGCTAAGTGAAAACCAGCGACGGTAGGAAACTGGCAAAACGCTACTTGTGTTAATCTCAAGTTGCTGTCTTTTCTGTTATACAGGCTAAGAACTTCTTGATTACATCAACACCTTTTTTTTTTTACCCTGGTGGTAAATATGAATTGCTGACTACTTCCCCTTGTTCTTCGCTGCTATTTATCAAAAGAAAGAACTTGGAAATCATTGTCGGGGACATAAAACTTCTCAGTAACGGGCTTCTGAACGTGTCTTTCGATAAGACCGGTCTCCTAAGAACAGCAGGCTTCTCCAACAGTATGTAAAGTGATAAAGGAAGCTAGGGAAAGGGGGAGAGGGGAAAAGAGGCTCTTAGGTGAGCACGGTCACCTCTGAAAGAATGCCCTGTTAAGTTTTACTTCTCTCATGAAGTTACCTCATTCTCTTCTCTACTGCAAACACTTGTCTTCCCCTTCCCCCTTATGTATAAATGTTGGATTCTGGATTTTGCCCTCCATCCATGTGCTTGGTAGCTTAGTGCTAGCTCAGGTGCTGGCAGGAAGCTACTCAGAAGTGAGCTGGGAAGGAAACATGACCCAGCATTAAGGAGACACCTTTGGTCTGAAGTCCCTGTGAATTTTGACATGTTACTCCTTTATAAGGAATGTTTTTGTATTCTTGGTAATTATCAGAGTTGAATATAGGGATAATGTTGTACAAGGCTAGCTTAACTGCAGCTGGGGCTGAGCCCTAGGAATTTTGCTGTTAGTGTTCAGCTTATCATTGTGAGACATTGTACATACCAATGGTAGTTCTGTTTCTGTATCACTGAACACCGCTATATTCAGGGCCCTGTGCATTCCCAGAGGGGAGTTGCCCTGCAGCCCACTCCAGCTGTGGACTCAGGCTGCATTGACTGCTCCTTGCAACAGGAACATGAACCACGGGTACAGTGGCTAAGTACAAATAAATCCTGCATTGTCTTCCTGTGTTGTGCCAGAAGACAGCTTGAAGCAGCCATTTTGAAGTCTAAATGGCCCCGTTTTTCTAAACAAGGTATTGGTAATAACACTTACGGATTACCAGAGCATCCATTGGATTTCACTGCTGAACATTTTAACATGCATCCAGCAGAGTGGTTTATCCTATCTTACCTAGTTTCTCCAAGAGCAAAGTACAGCTTTGTTCAGAGGTAGAGAAATGCCCTTTCCTGTTGCCAAAAGCCTCCGTTTTCCCATGAGTACCAAAAGTCCTGACTGTATTCCACCCCCTTGCCAAATTCACAGCTTCCTCCCATTCCTTCTGTGAACAAACTGTGTTCTCAGTGTGACAAATTGGTGCATTTTGGAGACAAAAACCTTAGGAACATATCCTGGAAGGATGCATCATTCAGTGCATTCTGCATACTCCAAACTTTTTTTTTTACTATTTTGTTTAAAGCTTGCAACAGAGTACATGGGGCCTTGACTATAATTGGTTCGGTAGTATTTATGAGCAATTAGGTACTACTGGTGTATGAATATGTCTTAGTTTTTTTCTAATTATCACTGTATTCAACTGTTTTCCATGTAAATTAGTATTGGAACACTGACTGTAAGGAATATAGAATTTTTTTTTGTTATCTGAAAGGAGGAATTAAATAGCCAGAAAGAATCTTACCTTGTAACACCAAATCTGCATTAGATGGTGTGGGTAACAGAAGCATTTAAACTATGCAAATTTAAGCCTAACAGCTGTGACTCAGACTAGGCACTTCAGAGCTTATGTCATTTGGGAAGGGAGAAGGGGAGTGGGGGGAAATCAAAACAGATTCAAGTGAGTTCTTGTTTACTGCATTGGTCATGCACTGTGTCGGGAAGTTCCGTTTTTAGTGCAGGGGAAGTTGACTGTGCATGTCCCTTGTTCCCTTCTGAAACATCACCAAAAGCTGGCTTAGACTTGGAGGCTTGCCTGAAGTGGGAAATGTTAAGTTATTTAGCAAATAAATTGGTTCACTTAAATGCTAATGAGCAGAGGCAATGAGAAGATGAGGTATCCTCCCCTGCTCTGTTTTGTTGATGGAGCGGGGACACTGATTTGTGACCGGGTGCTTAGTTTTGTATGGTTTTGATGAGCAGCTGGCTCAACAAGAGATAGCAAAAGTGCATTTCATCAGCATCTGTTGCATCATGGAACTAAAGCATGAAAGTCAAGGTGCTTGAAAGTCAAGCCTCGTCTGGGAAGACCAAATAAATATTTTCAGTGTTACCATCCTCGTTTTCCAGGCACAGCTTTCTCCTAGGGCTAGGCAAAGGGGCAATCACTTCTTTCTTGCTAGTTTTCTTATCTGTTCCAAACCTATCTGTGAATAATGTAGGTAGCCCTTCCTGCTTGTGGTGTTTGTATCATCAGCTGATCCATCATCAGACTCACAAGACCAACTGTCGTCAACGCATTTGGCTTCTGGCTTGGTTATTCCAGCTGCAGTGCTCTGTTGGCAGCAACCTGACTTTGGATTTGTTCTGACTGGACAAACCCTTGTGAATCACTTGCCCTGTACTGTGCTGTGCTGTTGGAGCTGTGCTGGTACCTGCTTTGGAGGCATGGAAGTGGCTCCGGGCTCGCTCGTGGTGCTGAGCCCTTCATCGGTGATGTAAGTTCAGATCACGGCTCGACAGACAAGGACCCGTACTGTGACCGTGCTGTGCTGGTCTGGGGTACGACCTGCAGTGTCTGAAGAAGGCTGCCATCCTAGGAATGCCGATGTCAACTGCTGAAGAGCCCTGCTTTTCACTTACCTTTTCCATCCTAAATTCTGACTTTTCTAGTAAATCAATATTTACCTATAAGTACTGCAGGAGGTTGGTTCCTGAGCACCAGACTTCCTGTGGAGGCAGAACAGGGGTGGGGAGGCTGGAATGCAGCATCAGTGTTTTTTGTCTTGAAAATAAAAGCTACACAAACACTTTTGTAAACAAATGATTTTTTAAATAAATACACATTTTAAAAGATGTTGATTTTTCACTGGGAATGCTTAACAATAAATGCATGTTTCCCTGAAAACAGTTTTCATTTTATTTCTGGCAATACAGATTGTTCTAAGATTACAGGGTCTACTGCCTCCATGTCAGTAACGAGAGAGAAAGGAATGATCCGTTTTCATGGTGCACATTAAACATTTTTGACGAAGAAAATTGTGTAAATAGAGGTTGTATAATGGAAGCGTGTGCTATTTCAACCAGGACTGCCT